TTTCTGTCATGTCTGCACTGATCAATTAGTGAAGTCTGAATCTTGGGGAGGTCTTGGTACAAGGGTTGTGGAGGAACCTCCCTCGCCCACTTATTCAAGTACTCTCACTCCATTCTTGTCATGTAATGCTACAAATAGGAGTTGTGGGGTTGTCTATAGATATGGCTAAGCCTGTGGCTTTTTTGTTTTACTCTAGTAAGTATAAAGACAATAATTTTATTCTTCCCATATATAGTCCTCTCTCAAGTAGTATTAAAAATGGGTTGCTTATGTAGGAGCTCTTTCTGAGCTTACCTTTACTGGCAAGCCATTGTAGAGAGACTGTACTGTGCTTGGTAAGGGGCACAGCCAGCTCAGGAATAAAAAGTTCCACAAGTAGTAAAAAAGACGCTGGGAGATGCGGACAGAAGTAGGAAACACTCAGCCAGCTCTTAAAGGGGATGGTAGGAAACATCATAGGAACCAGAAGCGCAAAGTTTACTGCAGATCAGAAAGTCACTCAGCTACTTTGAACCCATTTGCAGTTGCTCACCTCTTTGCCAGATTAAAATTGGTGAACCTCACAGGAATAACTAATGTCAACGGTCCTTTTTTACTTTTATCTATATGAAAAGTAATGTATGGTCCACAGTACTTCTTTCCATCCCAGAATGAGTTCTTCTGTCTCTAACATTACAACTGCACCTGTTGTGAAGCTGGACATCAAAGTGGCTCAGTCTTGCAAGATAAAAGCCGCTGTTATCTGCTCTTCAACAGCTCCTCCCTTCAATAAATCAGTCCCCTCTTTGTTCTCTTTCTGAATATTGTTTCTCTTCTTTTTCCATCAAATTAAGTAGTCTTGCTTTTTATCCTTAATGGTAAAAATCAAAACCTTTTTGGTATGGATTCTTCTCGGGTGCTGGTTTGACTGTCTGTTAAGGTACAAGCTATCATTCTTTCTTTTCATATGTATCTCAGCAAGCTAGACCTTCCCATTGGATATCTTTATGCATGCATGTTAGGAAAGGTTTGAGTCATACCAGTGTTGCCCCTCACAACCAGATGTATAACTTTATGCTGCTGTTAGAAGAGCAGAACAAGGCTTCTGAATATTTTTTTTTTCCCCCCTCCCATCCTTGAGAAATAATTGAGTAACTTAGAACTCTAGATTAGGAGATCAGCACTTGAAGTGATTAATTTCAGAGATAAAGTGACCTTCTTTATGGTCATGTAAGTGCTCTATTTCTATCTACTTCCAAGAGAAAATGTCACTTACCTGTACAGCACCTAGTTGAATAATAGGTGCGTTTTTAAAGGGGCTAATAATCAACAGCTACAGTCCATTTAATAAAGTTCTTGAAATAAACGAGTGTGAGATACATTTAAAATGTACTCGTTTCCCACATTATGTACACTTCTTTATCAGTTCCTGATCTTTCACTATTCACATTTTGTTTTCCTACCTGTACAATAATACATTGGACAACTGTGGATTCAAGATGTGCTTGGAGATTACCTACAGTGGCAGAGTACTTCCCTTGCTTTTAATGTTGCCTTGACTGGAAGTCATTAGGAAACAGGAGGTTGAAGGGTGATTATCGATGAGTTCAGCAAGACTGCATTTCTAACAACTGGATCAGTGAGCGTCACCTAGATTACAGTTACATGCTCACTAAGGAATCTGACTTAAGACTTGCAGCGCTGAAAAAGTAGGTATCTGAACCAGTGGTCTTCAGACCATCTGAATTGGTGGTCTGTGCTCTCAGTATATGTTCAGTGACCGAATTGAAGTGCTTCTGAAGAGCTTCAAGATGATTTCAAGCACCTAACTTGGATCCTGTTCCTACTGATAACTGGCAGCCTGAGAATTGCTACTAAGTGATTCATTGCACCTGTGTTCTGAGAGGCAGCGAAACCTGACAAGCAACAGGAAGTCAAGACACAAGTGAGCATCTGAATCTCTGCTACTTTTAATGTTTCAAAGTACATTTGCATTGAACTTGGACCACAAGGCTACTTGGATGTGACACACGTATTGGAGTCAATTTGCCCTGTATCAAATGCCTTAGATCTGTTGTCCATTAGTATAAAAGAAAGTTTCTGGCTTCTGCTCAGCTTAGAATCCAGAGCTGTATCTTTCCAGAAGTGTGCCTCAATGCTGTAGTAGTCTGAATTAGTGTCCTCCTTCACTCAGTCACAAATAACGCTGCAACCAAGAATGCAGGTTTTGTACGAAAGAAGACAGAATACATTACAGTGATTTTTCACTCTAACGTAGGTGCAGTGGGCTCTCCTGGAGATTAGAGGGTTCTGGGTTATGCTGCTTAATTTTAATCTGTACAGCTATTTCATCGAACACTTTAAATAGAAAATGTTAAGATCTCTAGAAGCTGTCACTCTTCTTTGGGGGAAGTCGTCTTTGCACTATAGTCATGTTCCCTCTGTTGTGTTTCCTATGGTCTCATGGCCACTAGGATCTGAATGGTCCCTCTGCAGTAGTCAAATTCCTGTACAGATCACATTGTGATTGGCATTCAAGGTGGGGCAAAAATTCTTGCTATCCTCTTCATTCTGAAATCTCACTTAGTACTGACTGACTTACAGGGTAGCCTGGTAATGTGTGCGGTTTTAACTTAAACAGTACAACAATTAGCTTTGCCTTGGTGATGCTAGTATTTTGATAGAAGTATCCCCTGGATGTCTTCTATTCCATGTAGAAGCAAAATCCTTAAATTTGGCATTGTTACTCTGCTGAATGCAACAAGAAATCTTCTCTTGCTTCTCCAGCATCCTCTCTGTGGTAGATCACTGGGAGTTTAGGAGCACAGACAGCCCAGATCTCTTTATTGCTGCTTAAATGTATTTTTTTTCTGCAGTATTCCTTGCTGCCTTGTTGCTATGAGTACAACCATGGCTTTGTTGGACTCCATTGGCCCTGCAGATCTGTTTCTGAAAACTTTTTGCAGTTATCTGTCTCTCTAGAGCTGAATCTTTCCCAGAAAGATGACAACTGATAATTTGGAGATGCCAATTGGAATTGGCTACAGAAACTTGAAGCAAAAGGCAACATTTGCTTGCTGGAAAGTTACCATTCCTCCTCCTTGAATTCTCTGTGAAAGCTGTGAGTTTGTGTGTGCTCGCCTCTATTAATGGATCTTGGATATTCTAAGATCTTACAAATCATGATGGCAATTTTTAGATGCAGCCCTGTGAATGATCCAATAGAAAAGGCTCAAACTGTTGGGTGCTAGTGGTGCTGTATACTTTCTCTTTTTGGTTTTTTTTGATACGTGGATGCACTCATCAAGTTGCGTTTTAAAGAACAAGCAGATGTAGAGTCTGTAGTAGTGGACTTGAACAGAATTCCTTAACTTCAGCATTTACTGGTTTGTTGCAATTGCAAAGAAAGAATAAACAGCAGAGGCCTCCAAATTTAGAATGCAAGGAAAATAAAAAACTAAAGAACAATGTCTTTGACTGTATCCTGAATGAATCCTTGATGTTAGTGATAACTGAGTGCAACGTTCAAATTCTAATTCTTTTAAGAAGGACAGCGTATCAGGTTAGACAAATGAAGTGCCAGGATGAGGCAAAACCTCTAAATGACAACAGGATAGCTGACCGCCAGTACTTCTGTGTAGGTGCATTGATTTTTATCTGATGCTACATTATATATATTGGTAACTGCCTTAGTCATGACAAAAATGCCTATGGTTGCAGACTTGAAGACCGCAAATGTTCCTCTAGGCATCGGTCAAGCAAGGCAGCAGTCACTATCTTCAAAAGTTGCCAGGCATCTTTCATTCTTTTCTTTATTAAACTGTAGATTTAGCTTAAAGAAAAGAGCAATGATGTCTTTATCTTCATAAAGGCATTTCAGATTGGTTTTGAAGTTGGTCACAGATGATGTCAGAGCTTCCCAAGAAAAGACAAATCTCATCTGCCAGCCTTTAGCATATCTTCTGCTGTGCTATAATAGGAACTTCCACTAGACAGTACAAGAATGTCCTCTCTTTGTTTCTTCAGTCTTCTGTTTTCTTTCTGATCTCCCACTCCTCCAGTTTTTTTTTTTACTCCAGGAAGTTTTGGAATCTGGTTGAGAAGATGATGGGCCTGTTATTCAATGTGGAGTTGGTTTGTTTTTTTTCATTTTTTGTGACCTTTTTGAAGGGTATCTGTGCATCTCTGCAACATTCTGAAACTAAAGTATGAAAGTGTCCTCAGCAGTCTGTCAACCTCCTCTTTCTATCAGTCCAAGCCGTAAGTCATGATTTCTCAAGTTAATCCTTCTTTTTTTTTTTTTTTTTTAAATCATTTACCTTTTGTTGTTTGGTAGCATAGTTAAGTATGTAGCATTACAGCCATTGGCTTTCTTATCTATAATTTCACCTTGAATACGAGGGTCATCACACAGTGGCGGATAAGGAGATAGATTTTTGGCTTAAGAAAATGTTCTCCAGAATTCTGATGGGATAAATCTTCATTATTGACTACTTCACAAATACTCTTGATTAGGACCCTCTTTCCTAAACCAGATGGTTATTTTTGGCTATTTCTCCTTAAAAAGCTTTTGGATACTCCAAAAGAAAACTGATTGCATGGTGTGGAATAGATTCCCACACCCCC